TATTCACCCACCTTAGTACGACACATGTCTTACGGACTTACAATAAAAGATGAGAAAATTAATCTCCATTATTATTAAAGTGTTATGAGACGAGGCATTACAGTCAACGGAATTGCATTTTTTGGGAGGGTGGAGTTTACCTGGAGAGGGTTTCAGGGGTCAACGCCCCCGCGGCCCGGTCTGAGACTAGGCTTCGTGGTGGAACAGGGTCTGATCAACCAGGCTGTTATTGCTGGCCGTATGCAAACTGACGTACGAACCACAGCCCGGCTGGTCAGGTACTGACTTTTGGTGTCTGACCAGTGCCTTCTTGAAGACAGTCAGGGGTCTATTGGTAATCCCCCTTACGTATGCTGGGAGGCAGTTGAACAGTCTTGGGCCCCTGACACTTATTGTGTTGTCTCTCAGTGTACTCGTGGCACCCCTGCTTTTCATTGGGGGAATGTTGCATCTCCTGCCGAGTCTTTTGCTTTCATAGGGAGTGATTTTCGTGTACAAGTTTGGTACCAATCCCTCTAGGATTTTCCAAGTGTATATTATCATGTATCTCTCTCGCCTGCATTCCAGGGAATACAAATCAAGGGACTTCAACCGTTCTCAGTAATTTAGGTGCTTTATCGTACTTACGTGTGCCATGACAGTTCTTTGTACACTCTCCAGGTCAGCAATTTCGTTTGCCTTGAAGGGGGCAGTTAGTGTAGAGAGAACAAGCGATTTGAAGAGAATCATGGGCTTGGCGTCCCTAGTTTTGAAGGTTCTCATTATCCATCTTATCATATTTCTAGCAGATGAGGTAGATACATTGTTGTGGTCTTTGAAGGTGAGATCCTCTGACATTATCACTCCCAGGTCCTCCACATTAGTTTCTCGCTCCATTGTGTCATTAGAATTTGTTTTATACACTGATACAGTTTTGATTTCCTCAAGTTTTCCATATCTGAGTAGTTGAAATTTCTCTTCATTGAACTTCATATTGTTTTGAGTGACCCAATTGAAGATTTGGTTGATGTCTGCTTGGAGTCTCGCAGTGTCTTCGATGGAGGTCACTGCCACAGTAATTCGGGTGTCATCTGCAAAATAAGACACAGAGCTATGACTTACATCTCTGTCCATGTCAGATATGAAGATGAGGAACAAGATGGGAGCGAGTACTGTGCCTTGTGGTACAGATCTTTTCACTGAAGCTGCTTCGGACTTTATTCTGTTTACTGTTACTCTTTGTGTTCTATTTGTCAGGAGGTTATAGATCCATCTACCCACTTTTCCTGTTATTTTTTTATCAAGCATTTTGTGCGCTATTACACCATGGTCGCACTTGTCGAAGGCTTTAGCAAAGTCTGTGTATACATCTGCATTTTATGCTCTATAGCATCCAGGACCTTGTCATAGTAGTCCAGTAGCTGGGACAGGCAGGAGCGACCTGCTCTAAACCCGTGATGCCCTGGGTTGTATAACTGATGGGTATTTAGGTAGATGGCAGTCTTGCTTCTTAGAACCCTTTCAAAGATTTTTATGATATGTTATGTTAGCTCTATCGATCTGTAGTTCTTTGCAGTTGCTTTACTGCCACCTTTGTGGAGTGGGGCTATGTCTGTTGTTTTTAGTGAGGTTGGGATGACCCCTGTGTCCATGCTACCTCTCCATGGAATGCTGAAGGTACGTGACGGGTTTCTTTCAGTTCTTGATGAACACGGAGTTCCATGAGTCTGGGCTTGGGGCAGAATGCATGGGCTTGTCATTTTTGCCTTCTCAAAGTCTTGTGGTGTAAGGATAATATCAGAAACTTTTGAAACCACCAGATTTTGGGTCTCAGTCATAAAATTTATTTATATTGTCTACCCTTAGTCTAGTTAATGACTCTCTGCACACTGAGTTGTACTGGGGCTTTAGTATCTCATTCATTTCTTTGCTGTCATCTGTGTAGGTCCCATCTCGCCTAAACAGGGTTCTAATACTTGATGTTGTTTTCCCCTTAAATTTGGCATAAGAGAAGAAGTATTTCGGGTTTCTTTCAATTTTCTTTATGGCTTTAAGTTCTTCCTGAGATTCTTGTCTTCTGTAAGATTCCTTAAGCTTAAGTTCGATATTTGGTATTTCTCTGACCAGTGCCTCCCTTCGTATTTCAGATATATTGGATCCTCTCAGTAGCTCTGTGATTCTTCGCCTTTGCCTGTTTAGGAAGCTTCTCTCTCTTTCTAGTTTACATTTTCTCTTTCTCTTTCTTAATGGAATGTGCCTTGAGCAGACCTCAAGTGCCACAGAGTTTATTTTTTCTAGGCAAAGGTTAGGATCCGTGCTGTTTAGGATATCTTTCCAGGTTGTTTCATTTAGGACGTATTCCCACGGTATGTTTTTGTTATTGAAGTTGAATTTTGTGAAGGTACCCTCATAACTGATCACATTTTGTGGTCAGGAGCCCTGTGCATACATGTCTGTACCTCTGTTATATTGTGATCTGAGTGTATTGTCTTTGATATGGTTGTATTATGTATCAGATCGTCGTTGTTAGTGAAGATGAGGTCCAGTGTATTTTTTACTCTTGTAGGCTCTGTTATTTGCTTAATTTAAAGTGAATTTGGTGCAGAGATTTAATAGCTCGTGTGTGTGTGTGGGAATTTTCATCTGAGCTGCCCCCTGGGGTTATCTCTGATAAAATATTATTTGCTACACTCCTCCATTTTAGGTGTCTCAAGTTGAAACCTCCCAGTAGCAAGATGTTTGGGGCAGGAGTTGAGGGATTTTTTATACAATGGTCAATTTTCAAAAGCTGTTCCTGGAATTGCTGGAAAGTTGCATCTGGAGACTTGTATATAACCACAATGACAAGGTTTTGGTTTACAATCTTTACCACCAAAACTTCAACTACATCATTCGAGGTGTTTAGTAATTCTGAGGAAATGAGCGACTCTGTGACGCACAGGTCAACTTCCCCTTGTTTATGTTGTCGCATCTGAATACGTTATAACCTGTGAATGAAGGGAAAACGTAAACAAGATTATGAATATACAACACTAAAAGTAAAACTTTTTAAGAGGTAGAAACTGGAGAAATTCAGAGTACAAATTATAGAAGATGTAGATAATGGGAAGTGAACAGGTTTGATTCAAGGAAGGGGAGGGATGTCCCATTTCCATGGCTAAAAAGCCCTTCCCCGGCATCAAGGCTAATTAGCAGGGTACAGGAAGCAATCTTCACTTGACCTCCGCAGACATAATATTGTAAATGATACCATAAGAAATATTGACGTCAATATATAACTTAATCCTTCGACTAGTTTATGGGGTTTAAAACCTATCAACTACACGAGGGTCATTAACGCTGCATGTCATGAGGCCTGGTCACGGACCGGGCCGCGGGGGCACTGACCCCCGAGACTCCCTCCAGGTATGTCACCTGTTCACCACCGGTCAAGAATACTTCAATCCCTGAACAAACAAACTCTCACTGTATTTACAATGACAGACCAACACCTCCCGGGGTATATATTACGATGATCTAAACCTTTTACCCCGTACTCTTACAGTTATCATAGCTGTGTCTGTGACTCAGCTGGGTTTCCGGTCGTGAGGGTTACCCGCACCAACGCTGCTGCATGGATTAATTCAGTGCCAGACTGTTTCAGTGCCAGACTGTTTCAGTGCCAGACAGTTAAGTGTCAAGACCTTTCAGCGCCATCAAAGTTTCCTATGGAAGCTAAGGATTGGTTTATCTAATGAAAATAATTAAGTAGAAAAGATATAGCTTGGATTATGTTATAATAATAATAATAATAATAATAATAATAATAATAATAATAATAATAATAACAATAATAATTTTATTTACTACAAATACATGTAAACATGTAAACAGACCATAGCTGACATCAGTGACATACTACTATATAGAAAGCTACTTGTTATGCTGAGCATTTCCCGCAAATTAGGTCAGTTTTGTCCCAGGATGCGACCCACACTAGTCCACTAACACCCAGGTAACCATTTTTACTGACGGGCAAACAGGGACAACCGGTGTAAGGAAACACGCCCAATGTTTCACCCTCTCTGGGAATCTAACCCAGACACTCGGAGTGTGAAGCAAGAGTGTTACCACCAGGCCACGGGCCGCCGTAGATTATTTAGTGAAGGACGTAAATGATCAGGAGGTGAACGAAACGAAACGGACCGGTGCTGAAATGGCCTGGAGCTGAAACGGCGGCGCTGAATTGTGCTCTACCCTCCAGCCGCGGGGCGTTGACTCCCTAAACCTTCTCCAGGTAAACTCCAGGTAAACGCTAGTGGTGCGTCGTAGCGAAACCCACCCGGATGGAGCCCTGGGAGAGGTGGGGGACGTGTAGCAAGGTTCCTCCTAATACCTGCTACTCGTCTTATCTGGCAGTAAACAGATACCTGGGAGTTAGTTGACCGCCGTAGGTCACATCCTGGGTCATGGAACTAAAATTAATCCCAGCGGAAATAAGTAGCACTGCTTGACTTTCTTTGATTGTCCTGGGCATGATAACTCTCCCGTCCTACTTATTCAAATCAAGTCTTATTCTTGTCTCGCATTTGTTCTTGTACATATTATTATTATAATCAAAGGGGAAGCGCTAAACCCGTAGGATTATACAGCGCCCGGGGGGGGATGTGGAAGGCATTCAGGCTTAATTCGGGGAACTGGAGCACAGTTCCAATTCCCTAAATCAAGAGCCCCTCACCAACATCAAGGAACCTTCCATGAGGGGTTCTTGTACATAGTAACAGAAAACTAAAATAAGAAAAGTTACACAGTAATGATGCCAGTTTAAAAACCTTGAAAAATTTCCACTTTTGTCCAAAATATATTTTCATCAGGTGAGAACAAGTGATAATGTTTGGCTGTTTTGGGTTATCTTGGGTTATTGTTAATGGGTGAAACTTAAGGTATAAGGAAAGTCTTAATTCAACTCTATTTCTTAAATTCTACAACAAGCAGAGATAAATACAACACATTTAATAAATTTGTCTTTAGCTTCAGTAATTTCGACATAGATTATCATAATGGATATACACAAGTGGCAGTTTATGATGACTTAACCTAGGATGTCTATCCGTACAATTCCTCAAAAAAAAAAAAAAATTAAATCATTCAGTGTCAGTTTGTTTCTCAAAATAATTATGGAATGTATGGATAAATTAAACATAGCTGAAAGTAATTTAAATATGATAATTCAACCAGTAAACATTACTGAACAACAATTTACATTTATTCTTCTACCAAGTTTTGTTTTTCAAGGTACAAGGGTCATAAATGTTGATTTTCAGTTGTGCATCACCACCCAAAAAATATTTTAATATATAAAGTATTATTAACAATATTATTACTATTATCATTGCATTCACGGACGGGGGGAGCGTTAAACCCACAGGGTCAAACAGCTTCTGGAGAAATGGGAGTCAATAATGGACCTGTGTTCCAACTTCTTGAATCGAGCCTAAATGCCTTTCATTCTACCAGGATCTATATGACCCTTACGGGTTTAGACTCTTCCTCGTAAATGTCATAATAATCCCAAATAAACACCAAATGAAACAATAATTTCTGCTATTACATTACAATACATAATCTTTTCCCAGATACGACAGAAATACACACATACGAAACACGAATTCTTGACAACAACACAGCTTCTGTGACGTCCGCACTGTGGCTTCCTGGCTGCCATCTCATAACGGGAATAAGTAAGTTTATTCAGGTATACACAAATACAGTTACATAGAATTATCATACATAGCAGCATGTGTAGAGAACCTGAGATAACACAAAAAAGTCAGAGTGACTTATTTCCATTGGGGATGGAAGCTACCCAGAGGCCTTAACTATCTTTATAGCTGAACTGTATGGGATTTATCAGGGCTTATGTTAACACACTGACGGTTGGCAATAATATAATTTGTAGAGATACTAAATGTGCTATCCAGGGTCTTATATATCACTCCAAAACCTGCAAGGAATTTGTATAGCAACTGAATTGACAAGACGTCACCGAACTAACATATCTGGTCACTGTGCATCACGACTCGTGCAGTCAAAGCTCTGGTGGCTAACGCTTTCTCTTCACACGGCGAGGGCTTGGGTTCGATTCCCAGCCAGAGTAGAAACACTGGGCGTGTTTCTTTACACCTGTTGTCTATTTTCCCCATCAGTAAAGTGCGTACCTGGGTGTTAGTGGACTGGTGTGGGTCGCATCCTGGGACAAAACTGACCTAATTTGCGAGAAATGCTCAGCATAACAAGGGACTTTCTATATAGTAGTATGTCATTGATGTCAGCTATGGTCTGTATACCTTGTACATGTACTGGTAGTAAAATAAATATATTATCATTATTAATTCATGCTGGATGAAAATAAGACTTAAGTCTGTCACTTTCGAGTTCTTGCATAACTCTGGTGAATTAATGGCTCAGCTGACTGAATAAGTCTTAGTAACCATTGTAGGTTACCTTGTGGTTGATATAATTGGTGAAAATAGTACAAAGTCAGAACTTATAAAGTTGTTTTATCCATATTAATATGCTGGTTGAACTGGATCTTAATAGTTAATGAAGTTATATATATATAATGTACCAAGAGAAGTGTAGGTGTTAGACACCTCATTTGATGTACAATGTCCTAACATTATGTAAGTATATTCAACTAAACTTTGCTAGTAAAGATTTTAATTTTTATTTGTTTCGCAATCCCGAATTATTATTACAATTTATTGTTACAAAACCGTAAACTGGCCACCTGTTAAACGAGAATAAATTACCTTAACTACCATGCTTTGGAGAAGTTTAAGACGACGACTTTTGTAACATTAATACGGGGTTAAACAGACCAGTGGATAGCATTATAAACTGAAAACAAATAGCACTGTTATACACAGAATAATCTAGAGGTCCCTCGTTCTTGGAATGTTGCTACACAGCTATCACGACGTCACGACACATTATAGTCTCTTAATACCCAGGTGTATGTGGGAGGAGGAGCTCCTCCCCGTGCTGATTTATCTTAGATATCAATAATTAAACCATGTGGCGTGGATTTATGTTACTATGGGCAGTTTTGCCTAAATTCTGTACAAACTCATTCTACGATAGCAGAATATATTTCATATTAGTATCGAAGATCTCGCTTCTGTAACTAATCTATTATGGTATTTTGAGTACTGTAAATTTTATGACAACATGGAATTCTCTCCTATTGAACAGCCCATCGTATGACACCATTGTGTATTGTGCAGTTATTTGTGCGAGTGGACCTGAACAACGGCAACAACACAGAACCTATTTAGAGAGGACTGAGTACGGTGGGAATTATACTGGACAGGCATAGGATTAATAAATTATATGATACAATAGGTTTAACTGACAAGTATTGAGTGTTTTTTCTATCTTCCTGTCACAGTGTGGGTATGAGATGCAAACTTCTTCACTGGATGTTTATTCTTCCCTAAAGAGAGACTACCCAGCGTCTGCAGTGCTCTGCCTGACCCACAACACTACCCTCACAGAAATAGTTACCATCACTACCACCCACCGTCCATCCTCTGCAGCAGCAGTGAGTACGTCATGCCCACAGCACAGCGCACACAAGAGTGCTGACCAGAACTACCCATCCATAATGGAACTGGACACTCCCCGTCCCTGAAATTAAAATAAAACTGGCTGTAAGAGAGGTTAAACATATCAACGAGAGTTCTTATTGGATACATTTAAAAGTCTCTCCTGCCCACCCTCGCTCCTCAAGTTACTGTGATCACAAGCCACTTTAAACTTGGCAAGCAAACTTGGCAACAAGTTGAATGCATTCAAATCGGTAACGAAATGTAAACTTTGTCAGATGGACTATTGTCGTACCCTACGTCATTATGTACTGGAGTGCGATAAAATTAATGAACTAATAGACAACTCACTCAGAAATGTTCAAGAATGTCAAAGTATTTTATTCACAGAGGTATATTACAGACCATTCTGGAAAAATACCCTGACTTTGCTCACTGTAAATAAAGCATTACCACTGTGTGTGTGTATGTGTGTGTGTGTGTGTGTGTGTGTGTGTGTGTGTGTGTGTGTGTGTGTGTGTGTGTGTGTGTGTGTGTGTGTGTGTGTGTGTACGTTCGTGTGTGTGCTCGTGTATGTGCGCAATCGTATGTGTGTACGCTCATGTGTGTGTGTGTACGCTCATGTGTGTGTGTGTGTGTGCTCGTGTGTGTGTCCCTATGTGTAGTTCAGACACTTTAAGAAGTCATTCACTACACTGTACACTGTGTACGTCAGGCCCATATTGGAGTACGCAGCACCGGTATGGAACCCACACCTGGTCAAACACGTCAAGAAGTTAGAGAAAGTACAAAGGTTTACAACAAGACTAGTCCCGGAGCTGAGGGGTTTGCCGTACGAGGAGAGGTTAAGGGGACTCAACCTGACGACACTGGAGGACAGGAGGGATAGGGGGGACATGATAACGACATATAAAATACTGAGAGGAATTGACAAGGTAGATAATGATACAATGTTTCAGATATGGGGTCACTACTGGAAGATGAAAACTCAGTTGAATGACAGGGATGTTAGGAAGTATTTCTTCAGTCACTGAGTTGTTAGGAAGGAATCGGAACAGTCTGCAGAGTGTAGTGGAGGCAGGCTCTGTACATAGCTTTAAAATGAGGTATGATAAAGCTCATGGGGCAGGGAGAGAGTGAACCTAGTAGCGACAAGAGGCGGGAACAGGAATTGTGAATCGACCCCTGCAACCACATATAGGCGAGTACACATACGCACACACGAGGTGTCAGAGTGGGCGCCTGTGACGAGCGGGGTTCCACAGGGGTCAGTCCTAGGATCGGTGCTGTTCCTGGTATATGTGAACGACATGACGGAAGGAATAGACTCAGAAGTGTCCCCATTTGCAGATGATGTGAAGTTGATGAGAATAATTCAATCGGAGGAGGACCAGGCAGAACTACATAAGGATCTGGACAGACTGCAGGCCTGGTCCAGAAACTAGCTCCTGGGGTTCAACCCCACCAAGTGCTAAGCCATGAAGACTGGGGAAAGACAAAGAAGACCACAGATGGAGCACAGTCTAGGTGGCCAGAGATTACAAATCTCACTCTAGGAAAAGGATCTTGGGGTGAGTATAACACCAGGCACATCTCCTGAGGTGCACATCAACCAAATAACTGCTGCAGCATATTGGCGCCTAGCAAGCCTAAGAATAGCATTCTTAGTTTGGGACCCTGTACACCGTGTACGTCAGGCCTAGCCAAGCACATAAGGAAATTAGAGAAAGTGTAAAGGCTTGAAAGAAGATTAGTCCCGGAGCTATGAGGCATGTCTACAAGGAGAGGTTAAGGGAAATCGACCTGACGATACCGGAAGACAGAAAAGATAGGGGGGATATGATAACGACATATAAAGTACTGAGAGAAATCGACAAGGTGGGCAGAGACAGGATGTTCCAGAGATGGGACACAGAAACAAGGGGTCACAATGGGAAGTTGAAGACTCATATGAGTCACAGGGATGTTAGGAAGTATTTCTTCAGTCACAGAGTTGTCAGGAAGTGGAATAGTCTGGGGAGTGATGTAATGGAGGCAGGATCCACACATGGCTTTAAGAAGAGTTACCTAGCAGCGACAGTGAAGAAGCGGGGCCAGGAACTGTGAATCGACTCCGGCAATCACAATTAGGTGAGCACACACATACGCACACAAACAGGCTGAGGCAAGTTACAGGGGCAGTGGCCAGAGAAGACACAGCATATGAAGCTGAGAGGCCGAACAGGAAGGAGATATGAATTATGCTAAGGTCATAACAGCCTGCCAAGAAGGGCCAAGGAGTGAAAGGGAAGAGTAGCTGGGTGCAGGTAGAGAGGGTGATAGGTCGAATGCAGAGGCACAACCATGCTACCAAGAGCCACTGGAAAAATCAAGGGAGAAAATGACCACATACAGACAGGAACCAGAGTCACAGAGGGAGAGGCAATGGGAGGAGGAAAGGGCAAAATCAGTGTTTATCCATGGGCTTCAGGAGAGAGAGGAAAGGACACACACTGAAAGACGGCAGGCAGAAAGAAAGGAGATTGAGAAAATCATCACGAAAATAGGTGAAGACATGGACGAGACTGTAAATTTTCAGAGAATAGGGGGGTACTTGAAGGGGAGAAAACGACCGATCAAGCTGATTCTCAGGACAGAAACAGTGCAGAACAGGATCCTCCAAGAGAAACCACGGTTGAAATACCCGGAAGAGTACAAGAGGGTGTTCCTAGACAGAGACAGAACACAAACAGAACGACAGCAGTTGAGGGAGAGGACAAAAAAGTGAAAGGAGCTAGGAAAGGAGACAAGGATGGAACCAGCAGAGGTCAATCAGAGCAGAACAGAGCAGCAAGGGCAGGTGCACACACAACTATCCTCAGAACCCCACAACCTATCACACCATCCCAACACAAACTACAATCCATACCCACAGCTTCCACCCAACACCCAGCTATAGAATCTCACAGTATGCTACCAAGTCTCCCACCCTCACAGGCCCCCCAAACCACAGTGTTGGAAAGGAAATTGAAGGTATGGTACACAAATGCTGATGGAATAACAAATAAGTGGGAGGAGTGGCACAAAAGAGTAAAAGAGGCATCACCAGACATCATAGCTCTCACAGAAACCAAGCTTACAGGTATGATAACAGATGCCATCTTTCCAATGGGATACCAGATTCTGAGGAAAGACGGAGGGAACGGGGGGGGGGTGGAGGAGTGGCACTGCTGATCAAAAAACGATGGAATTTTGATGAGCTGGAGAGAGGAGACAGCAGAGAAGCAAGTGATTACATAGTGGGAACGCTTCACTCTGGAGGTCCCAAGGTGGTAATTGCAGTGATGTATAACCCACCACAAAACAGCAGAAGGCCAAGGCAAGAGTATGACGAGAGCAATAGAGCGATGGTTGACACACTGGCTGCAGTGGCCAGAAGAGCTCATGCATGCAGGGCAAAGCTCCAGATCATGGGTGACTTTAACCACAAGGAGATTGATTGGGAGAACTTGGAGCCACATGGGGGCCAAGATACATGGAGGGCTAAGATGATGGAGGTGGTACTGGAAAACTTCATGTACCAACACATAAGGGACACTACAAGAGAGAGAGGAGAGGATGAACCAGCAAGACAGGACTTAGTATTCACCTTGAGTAGTGCAGATATTGAGGACATCACATATGAAAGACCCCTTGGGGCCAGCGATCATGTGGTTTAAGCTTCGAATACACAGTAGAGCTACAAGTGGAGGGAGAAGCAGGAAGGCCAGGACGAATGAAGCCAAACTACAAGAAAGGGGACTACACGGGAATGAGGAACTTCTTGCACGGGGTTTAGTGGGACAGAACTGGCAGGGAAGCCAGTTAATGAGGTGATGGAATATGTAGCAACAATGTGCAAGAAGGCTGAGGAGAGGTTTGTACCCAAGGGTAACAGGAATAATGAAAAAGCCAGGACGAGCCCATGGTTCACCCAAAGGTGCAGGGAGGCAAAAACCAAGTGTGCTAGGGAATGGAAGAAATATAGAAGGCAAAGGACCCAGGAGAATAAAGAGAGCAGTCGTAGAGCCAGAAACGAATATGCACAGATAAGAAGGGAGGCCCAACGACAATATGAAAACTATAGCAGCGAAAGCCAAATCTGACCCGAAACTGCTATACAGCCACAACAGGAGGAAAACAACAGTCAAGGACCAGGTAATCAGGCTAAGGAAGGAAGGAGGAGAGACAACAAGAAATGACCGTGAAGTATGTGAGGAACTCAACAAGAGATTCAAAGAAGTGTTCACAGAGGAGACAGAAGGGGCTCCAGAAAGACGGAGAGGTGGGGCACACCACCAAGCGCTGGACACAGTACACACAACCGAGGAAGAAGTGAAGAGGCTTCTGAGTGAGCTAGATACCTCAAAGGCAATGGGGCTGGATAACATCTCTCCATGGGTCCTGAGAGAGGGAGCAGAGGTGCTATGTGTACCCCTAACAACAATATTCAATACATCTATCGAAACAGGGAGATTGCCTGAGGCATGGAAGACAGCAAATCTAGTCCCAATCTTTAAAAAAGGAGATAGACATGAAGCACTAAACTACAGACTAGTGTCACTGACATGTATAGTATGCAAAGTCATGGAGAAGATTATCAGGAGAAGAGTGGTGGAACACCTAGAAAGGAATGATCTCATCAACAGCAGCCAACATGGTTTCAGGGATGGGAAATCCTGTGTCACAAACCTACTGGAGTTCTATGACATGGTGACAACAGTAAGACAAGAGAGAGGGATGGGTGGATTGCATTTTCGTGGACTGCAAGAAGGCGTTTTGACACAGTTCCACACAAGAGATTAGTGCAAAAACTGGAGGACCAAGCAGGGATAACAGGGAAGGCACTACATTGGATCACGGAATACTTGTCAGGAAGACAGCAGCAAGTCATGGTATGTGGCGAGGTGTCAGAATGGGCACCTGTGACCAGCGGGGTCCCACAGGGGTCAGTCCTAGGACCAGTGGTGTTTCTGGTATTTGTGAATGACATGACGGAAGGAATAGACTCCAAAGTGTCCCTGTTTGCAGATGATGTGAATGTGAAGGCTTACTCAGCCCTGTAACAACTTCAGACAGTATTACCAAGGCTGGCTCCTCCTCAGGAAAATTAATGAATAGAAAAAGAAATAATAATTCACAAAGATAAACACTTTATTATTTATTAATGCAAAGATAAAACATTGAAACATTAAGGTGTATCCTACTTGAAAGAAAAATGAAAAATGAAATGAAAAATTGCCATTTGACTGCAACGCTAATATGTACAAGTAAACTGGGGTGTCTGGTTGATGTTGACACTGTCTTGCAGAAATTGTAGCCGTTAATGATGGGGGGGGGGCCACAGGTGTTGAGTGACAACCCAACGACTAGTTCTTCACAGAGTCTATAGCCTTGAATAGTCAGTCCAGATGACAGGAACGCAGGTTCTTTACCTCTACGAAGATGAGGGGTAGTGTCCAGTGTCCTGTACAATTAATCAGGTAGGTAGATCATAAAGTGACGTCCCAAGACCGGTTTCAGTCCGTCTCCTTCAACACTTCTCGTTAGCTGGCAGGTGACCCGATCTGTCATTCCAGGCTGGAAAAAGAGACAGGTTACCCACTGCTTAAGAAATCACTGTCCATGATAAGTGTAAGATACTTAAAAAAGGTGGTGATTATCTAAAAGTCTCATGTGGAGCTTAAAACTGAAAAGACTAAGTTTATTATTGGTCAAAAGTGAAGCGTTCAACCAATATCCCCCCTCAAGGAAGGTTCCTTGATGTTGGTGAGGGGCTCTTGATTTAGGGAATTGGATCTGTGCTCCAGTTCCCCGAATTAAGCCTGAATGCCTTCCACATCCCCCCCCCCCAGGCGCTGTATAATCCTCCGGGTTTAGCGCTTCCCCCTTGATTATAATAATAATAATAATCAACCAATATCCACTAGAATAGGAGCAGAGGCTTTTACTTACAGTTGTGCTGGGAGTGTGTTCGAGTGATACTGTTTGGCCGGGCCGAAACAGTCACTTCGGGGTGGGGAGAAAGGGGCGGGATATTATTATAATCAAGGAGGAAGCAACTAAACCCGGAGGATTATACCGCCTGGGGTGGTTCTCAGTGTGGAAGGGATTCAGCTTAATTTGGAGACAGGAGCACAGATCCAATTCTAAATCAAGAGCCCCTCCAACATCAAGGAACCTTTCCCTGAGGGAGGGGGCCGGATAGCGTGAGGGCTGACCCTACCTTAACAAGCAGCCAGCAATCAAGTCTAACGGACCATATACTCGCTCCTACTCCATCTGTGAACTATTCCTCACGGTGAGTTGATGAGAAGAATTCATTCGACTCGAAGACCAGGCAGAACTACAAAGGATCTGGACAGGCTAGCAGACCTGGTCAGCAATTGGCTCCTGGAAGTTCAGACCCCACCAAGTGCAAAGTGTGAGATTGGGAAGGGCAAAGAACCCGCAGCCAGGAGACAGTCTAAGGGCACAGAGACTACAAACTCACTCAAGAAAAGATCTTAGGGTAGTTAACCCAGGCACATCTCTGAAGCGACATCAACCAATAACTGCTGAGGCATAGGGCGCATAGCAAACTCAGAACAGCATCCGACATCTTAAGGAATTGCATGACCCTGTACAGTGTCGTTAGGCCCATATGAAGCGGCACCAGTTTGGAACCCACACCTAGCCAAGCACGTAAAGAAACTAGAGAAAGTGCAAAGGTTTGCAACAAGACTAGTCCCAGAGCTAAGAGGTATGTCCTATGAGGAGAGGTTAAGGGAAATCAACCTGACGACACTGGAGGACAGGAGAGATGGAGGGACATGATAACAACATACAAAATACTGAGAGGAATTGACAAAGTAGACAAAGACAGGATGTTCCAGAGATTGGACACAGCAACAAGGGGACACAGTTGGAAGTTGAAGACACAGATGAATCACAGGGATGTTAGGAAGTATTTCTTCAGCCACAGAGTAGTCAGCAAGTGGAATAGTTTGGGAAGCGATGTAGTGGATGCAGGATCCATACATAGTTTTAAGCTGAGGTATGATAAAGCTCAAGGTTCAGGGAGAGTGACCTAGTAGCGACCAGTGAAGAGGCGGGGCCAGGAGCTTGGACTCGACCCCTGCAACCTCAACTAGGTGAGTGCAACTAGGTGAGTGCAACTAGGTGAGTACACACACACACACACACACACACACACACACACACACACACACACACACACACACACACACAGGGGAGACATGATAACGACATATAAAATACTGCGTGGAATAGACAAGGTGGACAAAGACAGGATGTTCCAGGGAGGGGACACAGAAACAAGAGGCCACAATTGGAAGTTGAAGACACAAATGAGTCAGAGAGATAGTAGGAAGTATTTCTTCAGTCATAGAGTTGTAAGGCAGTGGAATAGCCTAGAAAATGACGTAGTGGAGGCAGGAACCATACACAGTTTTAAGACGAGGTTTGATAAAGCTCATGGAGCGGGGAGAGAGAGGGCCCAGTAGCAACCGGTGAAGAGGCGGGGCCAGGAGCTAGGACTCGACCCCTGCAAACACAAATAGGTGAGTACACACACCTACAACATGTGACAGATCCTCTCCAGCTGGTTGCTGTATTGCCGCTTCGTCCTTTTCAAAGTTAATTTCCGTTGGGCGTTGTTGCTGGGGTCGTCGTTGACGTGGTATTGGCATAGTGGCATGGAGGTCGTGATGCTTTCGTGGGCGTGTGTGCTTATGTGGGCGTGCACGATGGGTGGTTATGGTTGTGGAGGTCCACAACCTTTGTCCAACTTGCGCTCCGCACTGTCAACACACCATGTAAACAAATGAGAAACTGCATTGTATCTTCCAGTTATTATTATTATTATTATTATTATTATTATTATTATTATTATTATTATTATTATTATTATTAAATAATTTTTATTAAATTATTAAATTATTATTGTAACTATTATTATTATTATTATTATTATTATTATTATTATTATTATTATTATATTATTATTATTATTATATTAAATAATTTTTATTAAATTATTATTGTAATATTTATTATTATTATTATTATATTATTATTATTATTATTATTATTATTATTATTATTAATTTATTTTTTATTAAATTATTATTGTAACTATTTATTATTTATTATTATTATTATATTATTTAATTATTATATCATTATGTACACCTGAACATGGACCTTTAAGTTGCCATAATTTTTAATTTATTTCCCCCCCCCTCCAACTTTTCGTGTTTGTGAGAGACAAGTGTAATAGTTCTGTATCTTTATTTTCGAAATAAAAATACCTAACTGTTGTATGTGTCTCACCTAACAATCTGTCAATATTTCTTACCATTTAATGGTCTATCTTAACTGGAAATTTATTCTTATTAGTTTAATTTTTTTTTAAAACTTGACTTTCTTAAGACACAAAGTCAAATATTCTGTCTTAAAGGATCGTGGAAATTTTTAAATAAATTAGAAGTGAAGATAAAAATTCAGAAATTTTGAGTAATGTTTATATATCGTTTTTTTCATGAGTTTTATTGAAAGGTTAAAATAATGTGCCTGAGTAGGCGGGGTATCAAATACAATTGTCTAATTTAACAATATGTCGGTTCTGTGAACCATTCATCTACGAACCTGTCAGACACTGCAACATCTTGGGATCTTAATACTTGGGAATTCTTGGCTTGCCTAACCCTTGGGCACAACCTTGGGCACGACCTTGGGCACGACCTTGGGCACGACCTACTTCCACATTAAACAAATGTGACACCACCTACGACTGCTGCACCTCTCCTGCCATACGGTTTTTAAGCTGCTTCTCCGCTCATATGCCGTATTCTATTCAAGATTGATGGACTGACCACATCAACTCAAGGCTGAGGGACTGATTACCTCATTCTCCTCCTGTTCTTCAAGTTTCTCCTCTGTATGGACTGATGAAGCCACTGTGTGGCGAAACGTTTCCACAATAAAGATACCCAAGAGTTGCACATGTGTCTAATTTATCAATGTGTCGGTTCTGTGAACCATTCATCTAAAATTGTCTCAGTTTACATTACTGTAACTTTCTTCAAGGTTCTCCTTTACAGCTTCAGAATGCCTCGCCCGATCGGCTTCAAATTTTAAACTCTGGTAAACTATCACTGAAGACCTGTGGAGCAGCTGACCAACACAGGTGACCTCTGTTACTATAATAAATGACTCTCAGCGGCATCAATCTTGAACGACTGATTCATTTGATGAAATGGATTTAACGTTGTTGGGGCTTAGGCTGTGTAGTCACAAATTTTGTTGTAGTCTGTGCCTTGTATGACCTGCCTAGTACGGGCCAAACAAGTATACCTGCCTAGTACTGGTCAGCCTGGTATGACCTGCCTAGTACGAGTCAGCCTAGTATGACCTGCCTAGTACTGGTCAGCCTAGTATGACCTGCCTAGTACTGGTCAGTCTAGTATGACCTGCCTACTACGGGCCAGCCTATTATGACCTGCCTATTACGGGTCAGCCTAGTATGGACCTGCCTAGTACTGGTCAGCCTAGTATGACCTGCCTAGTACTGGTCAGCCTAGTATGACCTGCCTAGTACGGGTCAGTCTAGTATGACCTGCCTAGTACGGGTCAGCCTAGTATAACCTGCCTAGTACGGGCCAGCCTAGTATGACCTGCCTAGTACGGGCCAGCCTAATATGGACCTGCCTAGTACGGACCAGCTTAGTATGGACCTGCCTAGTATGGACCAGCCTAGTATGGACCTACCTAGTACGGGCCAGCCTAGTATGGCCTGCCTAGTACGGGCCAGCCTAGTATGGACCTGCCTAGTACTGGTCAGCCTAGTATGACCTGCCTAGTACTGGTCAGCCTAGTATGACCTGCCTAGTACGGGTCAGTCTAGTATGACCTGCCTAGTACGGGTCAGCCTAGTATAACCTGCCTAGTACGGGCCAGCCTAGTATGACCTGCCTAGTACGGGCCAGCCTAATATGGACCTGCCTAGTACGGACCAGCTTAGTATGGACCTGCCTAGTATGGACCAGCCTAGTATGGACCTACCTAGTACGGGCCAGCCTAGTATGACCTGCCTAGTACGGGCCAGCCTAGTATGGACCTGCCTAGTACGGGCCAGCCTAGTATGACCTGCCTAGTACGGGTCAGCCTAGTATGGATTTGCCTAGTATGGGCCAACCTAGTGTGGGCCAGCCTAGTATGGATCTGTCTAGTACGGGCCAGCCTAGCATGACCTGCCTAGTACGGGTCAGCCTAGTATGGATTTGCCTAGTATGGGCCAACCTAGTGTGGGCCAGCCTAGTATGGATCTGTCTAGTACGGGCCAGCCTAGCATGACTGCTAGTAGGGCAGCCTAGTACGGGCCGCCTGTAGGGTCAGTAGGCCTGCTGCAGTGTTCTACAATTCATATATTCGTGTATTAAATATAAAATGAATCTTTTGTTAAGCCTTAAAATCATAATTGGTGATGTGTTGGTCAGCTGAAGTTTCGTCTTAACATATCCTCGGGAATGTGTTTATGTGTCAGTGACTCACGAAATCGTAATAACACGAATGCAAACAAACCATGAAACGGGCGGGGATAGAACCCGCGATCAGAGAGTCTCAAAACTAACGCGACGGTCTGGAGTTTAGAGACTCTCTGATCGCGGGTTCTAACCCCGCATGTGGTATGGTTTAATGCGAGTTTTTTTTTTCACTTAAATTAGTTACCAGGAGTTTACCTGGAGAGAGTTCCGGGGGTCAACGCCCCCGCGGCCCGGTCTGTGAAAAGGCCTCATGGTGGAACAGGGCTGATCAACCAGGCTGTTACTGCTGGCTGCACGCAATCCAACGTACAAGTCACAGTCCGGCTGGTCAGGTACCGACTTTAGGTGCTTGTCCAGTGCCAGCTTGAAGACTGCCAGGGGTCTATTGGTAATCCCCCTTATGTGTGCTGGGAGGCAGTTGAACAGTCTCGGGCCCCTGACACTTATTGTATGGTTTCTTAACGTGCTAGTGACACCCCTGCTTTTCATTGGGGGGATGTTGCATCGTCTGCCAAGTCTTTTGCTTTCGTAAGGAGTGATTTTCGTGTGCAAGTTCGGTACTAGTCCCTCTAGGATTTTCCAGGTGTATATAATCATGTATCTCTCCCTCCTGCGTTCCAGGGAATACAGGTTAGGAACCTCAAACGGCTCCCAGTAATTGAGGTGTTTTATTTTCGTTACTGCGCGCCGGAAGGTTCTCTTGTACATTTTCTAGGTCGGCAATTCACCGCCTTGAAAGTCTGTTAGTGGCAGCAATATTCCGCCTAGATAGAACAGTGATCTGAAGCGTGTCATCTTTGGGCTTGGCCTCCTGTTTTGAAGGTCTTCTTCTCTCTGTGCATTTTTTAGCATATGCGATTGATACAATCTATGGCCTTTGAAGGGTAGATCTCGACATTCACTCCAGGTCTTTGACGATTGGTGTTTCGCTCTATTGGTGCTGGAATTGTTGTAATAATCTAAATATGACCTGTGTTTCACTTAATGGATTGTCTAGGTTTAATTTGCAATATATTTTTCTTATTGCTTATGTGTGCAATCACATGCATGAACATGTGTATACATGCGAAAATGCACATGTACCTAATGTTTGCAAGCATTATCACCTGTACCCTAGGTTGAAACAATAGTAGTGAATGAAGCCTAACCTAGTAGGTCAGCCCATTGTCTTTGCTCGTATTCTCCTCCACCATGAGCTGGAATTCAATAATCCAATGGCCGGACTGATTACCTTCATTTTGTTTAGTTAATATTCTATCTTTCTTCTATTGATGTCCTGAATCTGTATTGAAAGCCACTGGATGCTGGACAAAACGTCTCACATAATTAGATACCAGATGTTGCACATGTGTCATAACTTTCCAATGCGCTTAAGCGGTTAGCTAGACTTGACCTGCCTGCATGGGCCAGTAGACCTGCTGCAGTATTCCTTCTTTCTTATGTTCTTAACTGCCTCGCCCTTCATCGTCAAATGCCAGCTGTGAACTGCTTCATACTTAATATGCTGGTGTATTTTAGGATATTGGTCTCTGAACTGCTTCATACTTAATGCTGTGTATTTTAAGGATATTGGTCTTGACATAACAGTAGAATGCCTCTGCAGACTTCTTTCTAAGCTGACTTTTCTTAGCGTAAAACTCGTTAGTTTTGTGCTGTGTATGTCCCAATTTGCCATTTTTATTAAATAAATTTTGCAATAATGCTCAAAGGAAAACTAGTGAATATTTCTCTCGATTTGCTTCAAGTAACGCTGAAATTTAACTACATGAGAATCTTCAGCCAAACTCTGTTGTATTACATTCGGTGCAGGATATTTTTTTTGCCAACACATAAATGTAATAACTTTTTTTTTTAGTATTTCTATATATCATTTATAGTATAATAATATCTCCTACATTGTGTAATAATAAGGTATTAAAATGATCCCAATGAAAATAAGTCACTTTTTTTGTGTTATCCCAGGTTCTCTACACATATGTTGCTATGTATGATAATCTATGTATCTGTATTTGTGGCTAGCTGGTCCAGTGGCTAACGCGACGGTCTGGAGTTTTGAGACTCTGATCGCGGGTTCTATCCCCGCCCGTGGTATGGTTTGTATTTGTGTATACTTGAATAAGCTTACAGATACAGAATAAACAGAATAAACTTACGATACAGAGGGCTGGGGTTAGGCAACTCGGGGACGCTTTTCTCGGATTGAACAGCGACCAATAGACATCTAATTATTATGATATAAGAACATAAGAACATAAGAACGAAGGAACATTGCAGAAGTCCTACTGGCCCATGCGAGGCAGGTCCAAGTCTCCTACCGGCTTAAGTGAGTTGTAATGAACCACTAGAACACAAATACAATGCCACAATAAATGGCTTTATTTGCTCAACACTGATCACTAGTGAACAAGGTGAGGAGTGCGGTGCTGAGGCTCGAATGACTTTATTTAGGGCAAAATTTGAAGGATTTTATTTCACGTACAGTTAAGTTGATGACGTCGTTGATGAAGTGGTGACGCTTGAGGCGAAGTGTGAGCTTTGAAGTGGTAGTAAAGGTGAGGTCGACCTCAGGGTTTACCTCGACCACCTCCTGCCGACCCTCCTCAACCTGATTCTCGGGAAAGAGATGAAAAAAAGGAGAATTAGAGAGAGAATCTTTGGGTTTGGAAGACAGGAGTCAGAAAAAGAAACGATTGGGAACATGTGTTTACAGATTTTGCAGCAGTTTGGGTGGATGTATATCGCTGTACCACTTACACAGCGAGTAAGAAACTTGCCTAAATTAATATTTTTTAACCAAAAAATATCGCGCATTTAAGTGGAAAAAATGAAATTTCCAAAAAAATCTTGGAAAAAAATAAAAACCTTAAAATATTAGGAAGTATCGTTTTCTTCATTTAAAAACAGTTAAAACAGTGAAAAACAGTCAAAAAACAGTTAAAAAAACAGTTAAAAACCGTTAAAACAGCACGTAGTTTACATCCCAGCAATAGTTGAGTATCACAACTTGTATATGTCTGTAAACAGCTACGAACCTTACAACGTACTCAGATTATCCATAAATGTCAGTGGTAATTATCATACATTGTATATCATCATATTACACGCTCACGCATGCCTGCTGGAAGTCCAAGCCCCTCGCACACAAAACCTCCTTTACCCCCTCCCTCCAACCCTTCCTAGGCCGACCCCTACCCCGCCTTCCTTCCACTACAGACTGATACACTCTTGAAGTTATTCTGTTTCGCTCCATTCTCTCTACATGTCCGAACCACCCCAACAACCCCTCCTCAGCCCTCTAAACTGTTGTCCAGAGGGCTGAGGAGGGGTTGTTGGGGTGGTTCGGACATGTAGAGAGAATGGAGCGAAACAGAATAACTTCAAGAGTGTATCAGTCTGTAGTGGAAGGAAGGCGGGGTAGGGGTCGGCCTAGGAAGGGTTGGAGGGAGGGGGTAAAGGAGGTTTTGTGTGCGAGGGGCTTGGACTTCCAGCAGGCATGCGTGAGCGTGTTTGATAGGAGTGAATGGAGACAAATGGTTTTTAATACTTGACGTGCTGTTGGAGTGTGAGCAAAGTAACATTTATGAAGGGATTCAGGGAAACCGGCAGGCCGGACTTGAGTCCTGGAGATGGGAAGTACAGTGCCTGCACTCTGAAGGAGGGGTGTTAATGTTGCAGTTTAAAAACTGTAGTGTAAAGCACCCTTCTGGCAAGACAGTGATGGAGTGAATGATGGTGAAAGTTTTTCTTTTTCGGGCCACCCTGCCTTGGTGGGAATCGGCCAGTGTGATAATAAAAAAAAAAAATAATAATACTGGAATTTATGGAAGAATATTTTCCCCTTTCCACAAATCTTTACACTGTCTTCCCCGAAATTTCTACAAGGCTCTGGACAGTCACCTGAAGTCAGTACCTGATCAGCAGGGCTGTAGTTCGTACGTCGGTTAAAGTGCGGCCAACAGTAAAAGCCTGGTTGATCAGGCCCTGATCCACCATGAGGCTTGGTCACAGACCGGGCCGAGGGGGCGTTGACCCCCGAAACCCTCTCCAGGTATACTCTAGGTATACCATCCTGTCTCACATGAACTCTGCCACCACCTCCACTCTTCTTACCATACATATGTTCCGAGTACCACAAAACCGTGAATAATTTATTATTCACCGAATAAAAAACACTGACTGACTGCCATTATGTCCAGACTGTTGCTGGGACTGAACTTGGGAGATGGACTAGAGTAGTATATTTGAGAACTGTCTTTAACGGGAGAGGGAGAGCCAAGGCTTCAACCAGCTGCTGGGAATAAAGAACATCATCCTAACGTTCCGGAGTGTGAAACACCATCATCAGTGCTAAAACAATGAAGAACAATTACCTAGCGGAATAGCTGATCTATATAAGAAACTAAACTGTTTTGTACTAACAAAGTCATAATAAATACAAATGATGACTAAGGTAGAGAAAAATGAACCTAACAACGACACAATAACCAAACATTAGACGACCTTTTAAATAGATATGATTAATCACCTGATGACTGTTGATGAACCAGGACACAGCTGGCACCGGATGAGCCCTCAGTATGGTACAGCTGGCTGCCAGCACCTCGCCAGGGTAGTACCTGATCTTGTAGCCGGCTATCAGCGGCCCCGTGTCCGGCGGGTCTGTCGGCCACAGGGTTCAAATTCAAATTCAATTCAAAGTTTATTCTCTATAAGGATTACAATGCTGAGTTTACAGAAATTTGGTTATTGTTTGGTTTACATGTAGTAAAATTGTGATTACAGAGTGTACCACTAGAACGCTTAGTATGGCTAGGCATTTCGGGCATACTTAGTTTTTTTCTTAATTGTAAAATATTACAAATTATGAGGTAAGTTGGTATTATGGCTAAGTGACTAAATACTAGTTTGTGAGTTTAGCAATGTGAATGCTTTTGTTTTGCACAGTACATAGTTTCATGAATCACAGGATTCATTATTTTAAGACTGAGATTAATATTTCTGTTTATGGTCAAATGAGTGAGTGAGTGTAAGTGTGAACCACCAGGTGGTATTCGTGTAGTTAGTTGACGGGGTGTATCAGGGAGATAAGATGTTTTCTAATGGTAGTTTTGAAGGTGATGAATGTGTCTGCAGTTCTAGAGTTCTCAGGTAGGGTATTCCAGATTTTAGGGCCTTTGACATACATTGAATTTTTGTAAAGGTTTAGTCGGACACGGGGAATGTCGTAGAGATGTTTGTGTCTGGTGTTATGCCTGTGGGTTCTGTCACAACTATCAAGAAAGCGTTTTAGGTCAAGGTTGATATTAGAGTTTAAGGCCCTGTAGATGTAGATTGCACAGTAGTAAGTGTGGATGTACTGAACTGGGAGTAAGTTTAGATCTATGAAGAGTGGGGGGGGGGGTGTTGCCAGGGATGGGATTTAGTGATTATTCTTACTGCAGCTTTTTGTTGGGTTATTATTGGCTTTAGGTGTGTTGCTGCAGTTGATCCCCAAGCACAAATAGCATAGGTGAGGTATGGATAAATGAGTGGTATAGTGTGAGAAGGGCATTTTGCGGCACGTAGTATCGTATCTTGGAGAGGATCCCAACCGTTTTGGATACTTTTTTGGCTATATGCTGGATATGGGTGCTGAAATTCAGGTTGTTGTCAAGGTATAAGCCTAGGAATTTTCCCCCATTATTTCTGGTAATTAGAGTGTTGTCAATCTTAATGTTAATTTGTGCATCTCCTGCTCTGCTACCAAACATAATATAGTAGGTTTTGTCAGTGTTAAGCGTAAGTTTATTGGCTGTCATCCAAGTCGATATTTTAATCAGCTCCTCATTCACAATGGTGTTGAGGGTGGCAAGATTAGGGTGAGAGATGACATAAGTCGTGTCATCAGCAAAGAGAATGGGTTTCAGGTGTTGGGATACGTTTGGAAGGTCATTGATGTATATGAGGAAGAGCAGGGGACCAAGGACACTTCCCTGCGGAACTCCAGTATCAAGTGGCCGTGTTGCTGATGCTGTGTCTTTAATGGTGACGTACTGATACCTATTAGTAATGTAAGATTTGAAATAAGCAAGCGCATGGCTCTTATACCGTAGTGATCAAGTTTGTGGAGTAGGATGTCGTGGTCTACTGTGTCAAAAGCTTTTCTTAGGTCAATAAAAATTCCTAGTGGATATTCCTTATTTTCCAATGCTGTGTAAAGCAGATCTAGCATTTTTATGATTGCATCATTAGTGCTTTTATTTTTCCTGAATCCAAAACTGGCAGGGGTTGAGTATGTTTTGAGCCGTTATAAATGAATACAGTCTCCTGTGCACGAGTTTCTCAAAGATTTTGGATAGCAATGGTAAGTTAGATATTGGCCTATAGTTGTTTAAGTCTGTAGGGTCACCACCTTTATGTATTGGTGTAACCCTTGCCATCTTGAGTAGTTTCGGGAAGGTGCTAGTCTCTATTTGACTTGTTAAAAAGTAATGAAATAGCATGCGAAAGGACATGGGCCGCTCGCTTGTACAGTAATGGTGGGACATGAGACAGATTCCCCGAGTTATTTTTAAGTGACTTTATGATCTCAATGACTTCTGTGGGCTCAGTTGGTTGCAAGATAGAAGGAATTAGGGAAATTTCCATCTAGGTAGTCCCCGGCATGGGCATTGGTATGTGGGATTTTACTGGCGAGATTAGATCCTATGTTTGAGAAGAAGTCGTTTATCTTGTTAGCTGTGTCAGTGGGATGTAGTGGTGTTTCTTTAGGTTTAGTTAGGACAATATTCTTGGTTTTTTTTCAGTTTGTGGGTCCCTAGAATCTGAGAGAGTGTTTTCCAGGTCTTTTTTATATCTCCTCTAGTGTCTGTGAATCTATTGGAGAGTATGTTGCTTGGCTTTTTTTATCAACTTGGTGAGAGCTGATGAAAAAGCTGAAGAATGTTTGTAGGAGGAAGGAGGGTAGTGGTCTGTAGTGCTATCTGTGATTACCCTGATTGGGGGGCTAGTAAATTGGTCCATATGAGTCTATTAGGTTCATGTCTCAGTGACCTGAGTTGGTTTATTTAAATTGTTGGTATGAGAAGTGTGTTGTTCATATTGTTGATGAATCAGTTACAGGCTCATCATCTAGTAAGCCAGGTTGATGTTGAAGTCATCAGCTAAGAGTAGGTGGTGCTATTCATTGTCTGTTTAGTTGATTAGTGATTTAATTTCTCACTGAAATTTGCATGTTTTCTTGAGTGAAATGGGATACTTCGTCTGTGTGTTCTACTTGTTTTATGTGAAAAGTTAAAAATGGGAAACAAAAACTAACGTTTCCCTAACAAAGGTGTCAGAGAGAAGAGAGAGAGAGAGAGAGGAGAGAGAGAGAGAGAGAGAGAGAGAGAGAGAGAGGAGAGGGAGAGAGAGAGAAGGAGAGAGAGACGAGAGAGAGAGAGAGAGGACAGAGACAGAGACAGAGAGAGAGAGAGAGAGAGAGAGAAGAGAGAGACAGATGACAGAGACAGAGAAGAGACAGAGAGAGAGAGAGAGAGAGAGAGAGAGAGGGAGAGAGAGAGAGAGAGAGAGAGAGAGAGAGAGAGAGAGAACATGCACTTACCTACGATAGTGAGATTGGCAGGTACCAGGTGCTGAGAGAAGCTAGGAAAGTCTGCCACGGCCTCACAGGTGTATGACCCAGTGGCTGCCACCCTTACCCGCTCAAGCACCACGTGCCCCAGTCCTCCGCTGCCTTCCTAAGTGACATGAGATAACTATAATCCGTCCGCCTAGCAAGAGCTAGTTCACTGGCTCCAGCAAGCCAGCTTTTGCTAGGCGGGTACTTGCTAGAAGCAACCTCAATGTTTCGACAGTGAATATATCAATCAAAGACCTCACCACGAAGCGAAGTCCCACACCTCTAACTTTCACAGCAGGCATCTACACCATCCCCTGTGGATACTGTTCCAAGAAATATGAAGGGAAAACAGGCAGAAATCTTTGAGTTCGCCTAAATGAACATCGAAACGCCAGCAACAGAGACGACTTAAGTAAGCCTATGTCCTCCACATGGACTCCACGGAGCATCTGATGAACTGGAATGAAACACAACTCGTCCATACTGAACATGATCTTAGACGCCGATGATGTCTGGAAGCCTCGCTAATCGCCGTCACCGACACCATGGAACATAATACTGGAAGCTATAAAAAAAAAAAAAAAAGAATACAGGCATACATGATACTCAGCCAGACAAAACTCAACCTGCCTCACAACACTGGAATCACGTGACATCATTGTCTAGCTGACCTCATACCATTTAGCTTTATTTGCATTTTTCAGGTCAATATGTGTCACTCACACCCCACTTTCTGCCTATATGTATATACTATGATTTTCAACCTATGTGTTAGAAGTAATTAATTAAGGTACCGGGACCGAAACGTTCCATAATAAATATGTCCTAGTGTTTGCTCAAGTGTTTTTTTAAACCAGTTTGTTGGTATCAGTTACCAAGGTTTATACCATTATTAAATGTTTCGTAAATCTTTATTAAATAACTTGAATCTAGTGTTGTGAGTTCTATCTTAGAAAGACATTTTCAGAAGCCTATCTATACTCCCTTTATTTATTCATACAACAATACAGGACCAAAATGTACATTTTATAATGAAGTATAACCTTCGCTACACTACTAGTGAACATAGAGGATTAGCATTTACAAGATTAGAATCGTTATGGACACGTCCTGTGACGACCTTGTCAATCATTTTAAAACTTCCTACCTTGAGAGTGAGGCCGGGGAGGGGGAAGAGGGAGACCAGAGCGACGGAGGAAGTAGTAGCGGTACTACGGTAGAACTGAGCCCCATCCTTCCACCAGGCGAGGGAGTAGAGCTGTCCAGGCCAGGGATTTACCCAGCACCTCAGGGACACATCCTTCCCCGCCTGCGCCTCCACAGGGACTTCCACGCCCCGGATGTATACTCCATGCGCCTCTGTTGTAACAGGGAGTGACTTGTAGGGTGTAATGGGAACGAGTAAGGAGTGGGGCTGGTCTGTAGGCTGCTGCCTCGTATGACTTTAATATTCTTATTTTGCACCTCATGCTCATCCCTTGGGTGGTAGTCGAGTAGTCAAAAGATTACAAAGGCAAGAAATGGGTCCAGGGACTTGGCTGCAAAGTTTTGATAGCTGAACGAGTTACAGTGGTAATGAACTGTTCCCTCCAGCCGGAGGGTCCAAGAAAGAAGACAGAAGAAAGAAGATGAACGACACCCCCAACCGGGGGCCACAGCCGGGTCACCATATGGAGAAGACCCGGGCCGGAAGTACCGGCAAACCTCTAATGAATGAATGAACTATATACATGTTTATATCTGACCACAATCGAAATGAGTTATTTATGCAGACCTGAATTACGCCACACACACACAAAATGGCAATGTGTTATTTACAGTGAACAAAGTCAGGGTATCGGCGCTGTATGACCCTTGTAGAAAAAAAAAACTATACCACGGGTGGGGTTTGAACCCGCGGTAAGAGAATCTCAAAACGCCAGACCGTCGCGTTCGTGGTATGGTTTGTTTGCAATCGTGTCATTACGATTTCGTGAGACCCTTGTAGGTTTCGCGCTTCTTTTTGATAATAATAATAATAATAATAATAATAATAATAATAATAATAATAATAATAATAATAATAATAATAATAATAATAATAATAATAATATAATAATAATAATAATAATAATAATAATAATAATAATAATAATAATAATAATAATAATAATAATAATAATGTCAGGGTAGTTCTCCAGAATGGTCTGTAATATACCACTGTGGATAAAATACTTTGCCATTTCTTGAACATTTCTGAGTGAGTTGTTTCTAAATTCATTAATTTGATCACACTCCAGTACATAATGACGCAGGGTGTGACAATAGTCCATCTGGCAAAGTTTACATTTCGTTTGGTCTACATCTGGTGGTGGTGATTTAACCTGCCAAAGATACTTGTAACCCAGCCGGAGCCGGGCAGTAGTGACATCCAAGAGTCTGCTTATTTGTTGGATGCACCATAGACATGTGGCTCCTCCTGCATGATACACATGTGGCTCCTCCTGCATGATAGACAGGTGGCTCCTCCTGCATGATAGACGTGTGGCTCCTGCATGATAGACATGTGGCTCCTAATGCATGATAGACATGTGGCTCCTCCTGCATGATAGACATGTGGCTCCTCCTGCATGATAGACATGTGGCTCCTGCATGATAGACATGTGGCTCCTCCTGCATGATGGAATGATGATAGATGGACTGACTGGTGTCAGTCTCCCTCAGTCTCAAGTGAATAAAGTTCAGTTGAATTATTATTATAATCAAAAAGAAGCGCTAAGCCACAAGGACTGCTAACTGCTAACTGACAGCCTTGATGGATGCACTTTAATAACACTTAAATATACCGGCTTAGTCACGCAATATATATAAAAAATGTGATACTTCTCTATACACAGCAGTTTTATAAGTGGGTTAAATGCCAGCAGCTGAGATCACTCGCAGAGCATTATAAGCAGTTAGCCTGACACTGTGGACTGTAAATGCCAGCATGTCTGTTTCGAGCTCCTGACCTTTACACCACACATTCGGCCCAGAGCTTGACTCGTCCCCATGCAACCTCAACTGTGAGTCCTCACTCACACTCCTTTCTTCTCTCTCTCTCTCTCTCTCTCTCTTCTCTCTCTCTCTCTCTCTCTCTCTCTCTCTCTCTCTCTCTCTCTCTCTCTCTCTCTTCTTTCTCCTCTCTCTCTTCTCTCTCTCTCTCTCTCTCACACACACACACACAGCATCCCCTCAACCCCTGCATCCCACACCAACCAAACACAATAACAAGAGCCAAGCTACACTCCACATCCACAGTCCCCACCCCTCCCAGCTCTAATACTGCCACACCAGCAGACTACCATAATATTCAGGCCTGCCTACTATACCCACAGCCAGCACCAACACTTCTCACCTCCCAGAACATAGTCCTAGAAAGGAAGCTGAAGTTGTGGTACACCAACGCAGATGGCATTACAAATAAGAGTGAGGAGTAGCAAGAAAGAATCACTGAGGCATCCCTGGATATCATAGCAATCACAGAGACAAAGCTCACAGAAGTAATAACAGACGCAATCTTCCTGTCTGGTTATCAGATCCTGAGGAAAGACAGGAGGGGCAGAGGGGAGAAAGGAGTTGCACTGCTCATCAGGAACCAATGGGCTTTTCAGGAGATAGGAGGACTAGTCAGAGGACTAACGGATAACTACATGGTAGGAGCACTGCATACTGGGGGCCCACAAGTGATGGTAGCAGTGATGTACAACCCTTCACAGAACAACAGGAGGTCAAGACAGAAATATGATGAGAACAACAGAGTGATGATGGACACACTAGCCGACATTGCCAGAAGAGCCCATATGAGCAAGGTAAAGTCATTTATCATGGGAGGGATTTCAACCATAAGGAAATTGACTGGGAGAATCTAGAGCTGCATGGGGACCAAAGACATGGTGAGGCAAGATGCTGAAGGCAGTACTAGAAAACGTCATGTACCAACATGTTATGGACACAACCAAAGAGAGAGGAGATGACAAACCAACAAGGCTAGACCTCATGTTCACCTTGATTAGTTCAGACATACAAGATATCACACATGAAAGCCCTATAGGTACTAGTGACTATGCGGTCTTGAGTTTTGAGTACATAGTGAGTTAACAATGGAGAGTGAAGCAGTGCTAGAAGGACAGGAAAAGCTCAACTTCCAAAAAGGGGACTACACAAGTATGCGGCAATTCCTACATGAGGTGCAGTGGGCAAACGAGCAGTGGGCAAGACGATGGAATACGTGACCACAAAACGCAGAAAGGCAGTAGAGAAGTTCGTACCAAAGGGCAACAGAAAGAATGGGAAGGCCAGAGTGAGCCCATGATTTACCAAGAGGTGTGGAGAGGCCAAAGCTAAGTGAGCAAGATCATGGAAAAAGTTTAGAAGCAAAGGACCCAGGAAAACAGGGAGTTGAGTCGAAGAACCAGAAACGAATATGCATGAATAAGGAGAGAAGCCCTGCGTCAGTACGTCAACGACATAGCATCAAAAGCCAAATCTGACCCAAAGTTGTTATATTGCCACATTACAAGAAAAACAGCAGTCAAGGATCAGGTAATCAGGTTGAGGAAGGAAGGAGAGCTCACAGAGAATGACCAGGAAGTATGTAAAGAGCTCAGCTCAAGATTCAGAAAGGTAGGCATTCACAGTGGAGACAGAGAGGCTCTCAGAAAACCAAAGTGGTTGGGTGCACTAGCAAGTGCTGGACACTGCACACAATCGAGGATGAGAAGAAACTGCTAGGGAACTAGATACCTCGAAGGCGGTGGGCCCAGATAATATCTCTCCTTGGGTCCTGAGAGAGTGAGCAGATGCTTTGTGTGCACCTCTAACAACAATCTTCAATAAATCTATCGAAAAAGAACAACTGCTTGAGGTGTGGATGACAGCAAATGTAGTCCCGATTTTTAAGGAGAAAGACAGGCTGCACTAAACTACTGATCGGTGTCGCTGACATGTATGTAAAGTTATGGAGAAGATTATCAGGAAAAGAGTGGTGGAGCGCCTAGAACGGAATGGCCTAACACATGACAACCAGCACGGCGCCAGGGAAGGGAAATCCTGCATCATGAACTTACTGGAGTTCAATGACAAGGCTAACAGAAGTAAGACAGGAGAGAGAGGGATGGGTAAACTGCATCTTCTTGGGCTGTAAAAAGGCTTTCGACACAGTTCCACGCAAGAGACTCATTGAAAAACTAGAGGAACTGGCAGGAATAGGAGGAAAAGGTACTGCAGTGGATAAGGGAATACCTGACAGGCGGGAAACAACGTGTGTCTCTCCGAGACGAGATGCCAGAGTGGGTGAATGTGTCGAGTGGGGTTCCACAAGGGTCAGTACTAGGTCCGGTGCTGTTTTTGGTATATGTGAATGACATGACGGAAGGGATAGATTGAGAAGTGTCCCGTTTGCAGATGATGTGAAGTTAGTGAGAAGAATTAAATCGGTCGAGGATCAGGCAGGACTACAAAGAGACCTGGACAGGCTACAAGCCTGGTCCAGCAACTGGCTCCTTGAATTTAACCCTGCCAAATGCAAAGTCATGAAGATTGGGGAAGGGCAAAGAAGACCGCAGACATAGTATAATCTAGGTGGCCAAAGACTCCAAACCTCACTCAAGGAAAAAGATCTGGGGGTGAGTATAATACCGAGCATATCTCCTGAGGCGCACATCAATCAGATAACTGCTGCAGCATACGGGCGCCTGGCAAACCTAAGAGTAGTGTTCCGGTACCTCACTAAAGAATCGTTCAAGACTCTGTGCACCATATACGTCAGGCCCATATTGGAATACGCAACACCAGTTTGGAATCCACACCCGGTCCAGCACGTCAAGAAATTAGAGAAAGTGCAAAGGTTTGCAACAAGACTAGTCCCAGAGCTAAGGGGATTGATCTATGAAGAAAGGTTAAGGGAAATCGGCCTGACTACACTGGAGGTCAGGAGGGTCAGGGGAGACATGATAACGACATATAAAATACTGCGCGGAATTGTCAAGGTGGACAAAGACAGGATGTTCCAGAGATGGCACACAGAAACAAGGGGTCACAATTGGAAGTTGAAGACTCAGATGAGTCAAAGGGATGTTAGGAAGTACTTCTTCAGTCATAGAGTTGTCAGGAAGTCGAATAGCCTAGAAAGTGAACCATACATAGTTTTAAGACGAGGTTAGATGAAGCTCATTGAACAGGGAGAGAGAGAACCTAGTAACAAACAGTGAAGAGGAGGGACCAGGAGCTATGAATCGACCCCTGCAACAACAAATAGGTGAGTACACATACACACACACACGTACATTCACACACACACACACACACACACACACACACACATACACACACGTACGTACATTAGCGTACAGGTAAAGTGTGGCCCACACACTGTTGACAGGTAGTATACCAAACGATGTAAAATCTTAGTAGATAGTGAAAACCTCACCTTCAACATAGAAGAAGAACACGGAGAGTGTGAAAATAACCATAGTTGGGTGACTGAGGTTCACTGCACGTCTGAGACAACCATAACTGGATGACTGAGGTTCACTGCACGTCTGAGACAAACATAACTGGATGACTGAGGTTCACTGCACGTCTGAGACAACCATAACTGGATGACTGAGGTTCACTGCACGTCTGAGACAACCATAACTGGATGACTGAGGTTCACTGCACGTCTGCAACAACCATAACTGGATGACTGAGGTTCACTGCACGTCTGCAACAACCATAACTGGATGACTGAGGTTCACTGCACGTCTGAGACAACCATGACTGGATGACTGAGGTTCACTGCACGTCTGAGACAACCATAACTGGATGACTGAGGTTCACTGCACGTCTGCAACAACCATAACTGGATGACTGAGGTTCACTGCACGTCTGCGACAACCATGACTGGATGACTGAGGTTCACTGCACGTCTGCGACAACCATGACTGGATGACTGAGGTTCACTGCACGTCTGAGACAACCATGACTGGATGACTGAGGTTCACTGCACGTCTGAGACAACCATGACTGGATGACTGAGGTTCACTGCACGTCTGAGACAACCATGACTGGGTGACTGAGGTTCACTGCACGTCTGAGACAACCATGACTGGATGACTGAGGTTCACTGCACGTCTGAGACAACCATGATGGATGACTGAGGTTCACTGCACGTCTGAGACAACCATGACTGGATGACTGAGGTTCACTGCACGTCTGAGACAACCATGACTGGATGACTGAGGTTCACTGCACGTCTGAGACAACCATGACTGGATGACTGAGGTTCACTGCACGTCTGAGACAACCATGACTGGATGACTGAGGTTCACTGCACGTCTGAGACAACCATGACTGGATGACTGAGGTTCACTGCACGTCTGAGACAACCATGACTGGATGACTGAGGTTCACTGCACGTCTGAGACAACCATGACTGGATGACTGAGGTTCACTGCACGTCTGCGACAACCATGACTGGATGACTGAGGTTCACTGCACGTCTGAGACAACCATGACTGGATGACTGAGGTTCACTGCACGTCTGCGACAACCATGACTGGATGACTGAGGTTCACTGCACGTCTGAGACAACCATGACTGGATGACTGAGGTTCACTGCACGTCTGAGACAACCATGACTGGATGACTGAGGTTCACTGCACGTCTGAGACAACCATGACTGGGTGACTGAGGTTCACTGCACGTCTGAGACAACCATGACTGGATGACTGAGGTTCACTGCACGTCTGAGACAACCATGACTGGATGACTGAGGTTCACTGCACGTCTGAGACAACCATGACTGGATGACTGAGGTTCACTGCACGTCTGCCACAACCATGACTGGATGACTGAGGTTCACTGCACGTCTGCGACAACCATAAACTGATGACTGAGGTTCACTGCACGTCTGAGACAACCATGACTGGATGACTGAGGTTCACTGCACGTCTGAGACAACCATGACTGGATGACTGAGGTTCACTGCACGTCTGTCACAACCATGACTGGATGACTGAGGTTCACTGCACGTCTGCCACAACCATGACTGGATGACTGAGGTTCACTGCACGTCTGCGACAACCATGACTGGATGACTGAGGTTCACTGCACGTCTGAGACAACCATGACTGGATGACTGAGGTTCACTGCACGTCTGCGACAACCATAACTGGATGACTGAGGTTCACTGCACGTCTGAGACAACCATAACTGGATGACTGAGGTTCACTGCACGTCTGCGACAACCATAACTGGATGACTGAGGTTCATGCACGTCTGCGACAACCATAATGGATGACTGAGGTTCACTGCACGTCTGAGACAAACCATGACATGGATGACTGAGGTTCACTTGCACAGTCTGCCACAAACCATGACTGGATGACTGAGGTTCACATGACGTCTGAGACAACCATGATGGATGACTGAGTTCACTGCACGTCTGAGAAACCATGACTGGATGACTGAGGTTCACTGCACGTCTGAGACAACCATTTACTGGATGACTGAGGTTCACTGCACGTCTGAGACTAACCATGACTGGATGACTGAGGTTCACTGCACGTCTGAGACACCATGACTGGATGCTGAGGTTCACTGCACGTCTGGACAACCATGACTGGATGACTGAGGTTCACTGCACGTCTGAGACAACCATGACTGGATGACTGAGGTTCACTGCACGTCTGAGACAACCATGACTGGATGACTGAGGTTCACTGCACGTCTGAGACAACCATGACTGGATGACTGAGGTTCACTGCACGTCTGAGACAACCATGACTGGATGACTGAGGTTCACTGAGACAGACTCTCACGTTAATCCCTCTCGTCTGGTGTCAAGAGGGAATCAGACAACTGCGCTCACTCCGTTAATGCGAGGCGAGGGAACAGTTGGCCTGATCCAAGCCAAGGTCCTTGATCCAAGGAATCTGAGCTATCTTTTCCATCCTTGCATCAAACCCTGCGGGTTTAGCCCTTTCTCATGAATATTAACAACCATGTTATTAATATCTGTACGATGTGGAGCGTATAGAAATTAATTCTGTGAACCTTTCCCCCTCCCATCACCACCTCTGCCCCTCCCATCACCACCTCTGCCCCTCCCATCACCACTTCTGCCCCTCCCATTACCTCTGCCCTCCCATCACCAGCTCTACCCCTCCCATCACCACCCCTCCTCTCCATCACCACCTCTGCCCTCCCATCACCACCTCTACCCTACCATCACCACCTCTGCCCTCCCATCACCACCTCTGCCCTCCCATCACCACCTCTGCCCTATTCATCACCCCCTCTCCCCCCCCCCCTCACCACCTCTCCCCCTCCCACACCACCTCTGCCCCTCCCATACCTTGCCCCCCCCATCACCACTTCCCCCCCATACCACCCCCCTCCCATCCCCCCTTGCCCCTCCCATCACCCCCCTTCCCCTCCTCACACCTCCCCCCCCATCACCCCCTCCCTCCCATCACCACCTCTGCCCCCCCATCACCCCCTCCCCCCTCCCATCACCCCCTCTGCCCCTCCCACACCCCCTCTGCCCCTCCCCCCCACCTTCCCTACAAATTTCCCCACCTCTCCCTCCATCACCCCTTCTGCCCCCCCCATCCCCACTTCTCCCCCCCATCACCACCTGCCCCCCATCACCCCCTTTGCCCCCCCCATCACCACCTCTCCCCTCCCATCCCCAACCCCTCCCCCCCATCACCCCCCTTGCCCCTCCCATCCCACTTCTGCCCCCCCATCACCACTCTGCCCCCCCCACACCCCCCTTCCCCCCTCCCATCACCACTCTCCCCCCCCATCACCCCCCTCCCCCCCATCACCTTGCCCCTCCCATCACCACTTCTGCCTCCCATCCCCACTTCTGCCCCCCCTCACCACCCCTGCCCCTCCCCCCCCCCACACCCCTCGGGCCCCCCCCCACACCACCTCTCCCCCCCCATCCCCACCCTCCCCTCCATCCCCACCCCCCCTCCCACACCACCTCTGCCCCCCCCATCACCACCCCCCCTCCCATCACCACCTCCCCCTCCCTTTCCCACCCTCCCTCCCTCACCACTTCTCCCCTCCCTCACCCCTCTCCCTCCCTCACCCCTTGCCCCTCCCACACCACTCCCCCCCCCTCACCCCCTCCCCCCCCCATCACCACCCCCCCCCCCACCATTTTCCCCCCCCATCACCACCCTCCCCCCTCACCCCTCTGCCCCCCCCATCACCACTTTGCCCCCCCATCACCCCCTGCCCCTCCCATACCACTCTCCCCTCCCATCACCCCTCTCCCCCCCCCACAACCCCCCCCCAACCCACCCCCACCCACCCCCCCCCTCCCATCCCACCCCCCCCCTCCACCCCACCCCCCCTCCATCCCCCCTTCTGCCCCTCCCTTTACCACCTCTCCCCTCCCACACCCCCTGCTCCCTCCTCCCCCCTTTCCCCTCCCATCCCCACCCTCCCCCCCCATCACCTCTGCCCCCCATCCCACTTCCCCCCCCTCCATCTCCCCTTTTGCCCCCCCCCACCCCTCTGCCCCCCCACACCTTGCCCCCCCCTTCCCCACTTTTTCCCCCCCCCCATCCCCACCCTCCCCCCCCATCCCCACCCCCCCCTTTTTCCCATCCCCATTCCCCCCCCATCCCCACCCTCCCCCCACACCCCCTCTCCCCTCCATCCCACCTCCCTCCCATCCCACCCTCCCCCCCAACCCACCTCTGCCCCCCCACACCCCCTCCCCCCTCCCATCCCCACCCCTCCCCCCCCATCCCCCCTTGCCCCCCTCCCATCCCCCCCCCCCTCTGCCCCTCCCATCACCACTCTGCCCCCCCTCACCACCTCTGCCCCCCCCATCCCACCTTTTCCCCTCCCTCACCCCCCCCCCCCACCCCCTCTCCCCCTCCCATCACCCCCTCTCCCTCCCATCACCCCCCTCTGCCCCTCCCACACCACCTCTGCCCCCATCCCCTCCCCCCCCTCCCCACCCCTCCCTCCCTCACCCCTTGCCCTCCCATCACCCCCTTCGCCCCCCCATCACCCCCTTGCCCCCCATCACCACCTCTGCCCCTCCCATACCCCCTCTGCCCCCTCCATCACCCCCTCTCCCCCTCCCAAAACCCCTCTCCCCTCCCATCACCACCCTCCCCCCCACCCCACCCCTCCCTCCCATACCCCTCTGCCCTCCATCACCCCCTCCCCTCCATCACCACCTCGCCCCCCCCACACCACCCTCCCCTCCATCACCCTCTCCCCCCCCTCCCATTTCCCCCCACCCCCTCCCCTCCCATCCCCCCTCTGCCCCCCATAAAAAAATCCCCCCCCCCTCCCCCCTCCCTCCCAACCCCCTTTCTGCCCTCCCATCACCACTTCCCCCTCCCATCCCCCCCTCTGCCCCCCCCTCACCCCTCTCCCCCCCCATACCCCCCCCCCTTTCCATCCCACCTCTGCCCCTCCCATCACCACTCTCCCTCCCTCACCACCCTCCCCCCCA